TTCATCCCACCACCCCAGCACCCACACGCACCTCGCTGTGGCCCCCTCACCCGCTGCCTCGCTCCCCCGCCCACCCTGCCCGTCTCGCCGCGCAGGTGTGCCAGGTGACGCTGCCCGCCTCGGGCGGCCGCCTGCTCATCGGCAGCGACGGCCTGTGGGACGCGGTCCACCCAAAAACCGCTGCGCACCACTGCCGCGACATGGCGGCGGCCGAGGCGGCGCACAAGCTGCTGGCGCTCGCCATCAAGGCGGATCGCCTCAAGGACGACGTGACGGGTGGGTAGCCCATGGGTGCAGCATGCCCTCCGTCCTTTTTCCTTCTTTCCTCATTTTTCTTTCCTCATTTTTGCTTTCTTTCTTTCGTCCTCCTCACTCACTTGTCTGGTCTGCCCTCCCCTGCCCCCCCCTTGTTCGGCGAGTGCCGGAGGGTCAGCTGGAGCTTGCATTGGCAGACCATCTGCGCTGGTTCCTGGGCTCGCCAGGGCCGTTGCTGGCAGGGGCCCCCGCTCCCAGGCTCCTGCGCTGCGCCGCTCCTGAACCTGTGCCCGCCTCGCCCTCCCTGCAGTCGTGGTGGTTGACTTCCTGCCCACCCCCGGGGCCCGCCTGCCCCCCGGCCTGGTGCTGCACCGCGCCCAGGCGGCAGCGTCTGGCAGGAGGGGCGGCGGCGCTGACGTGGCGCACCTGGCGCATGTGTGGCACCCGCTGCGCGAGACGCACGACTGGCTGGGCGCCGGCGCCGAGAGTGAGCGCGGCTGCCCCGTTCGTAACATAGCAGCAGGCGGTGTCTGCCAGCCTAGCCTGCTCTGGACGCCCGGGCTGCCCCACCTCGCGCCGAAGCCCCATGCCCCGCCGCGCTGTCATGACGTGCGCTCCCTGGCTTGCCTGCAGGGCGGCGGCAGGTGCTGGCTGAGCAGCGGGAGGAGGAGGCGGAGCGGGCGGCGGCGGCGGAGCGGGAGCGGCAGCGCCAGATCGACAATGCCGAGGTGGTGCTGAAGAAAGCGGGGCGCAGCGGGGTCACCGCGGGTGAGCCGGCAGCCGGCTGGCAGGGGCCCGCTGCTGCCCTTCGCTGCCGCCTGTTTCAACCTGCGTTATTTCGCAGAATGAGCTGCGCCTGGGCTCTGTCTGCACCTGCACACCCCCTGTGCAAGCTTCTGGCGCCAGATGTGCACCCCACCGCTGCGCACACCTTGCCTCTGCCTCAGCGATCCCTGTCGCTGCCTCAGCGACTCCTCACGTGCCCCCCCCCCCTGGGCTGCGCCCACTGCTTCCCAACCGCTGCAGAGAACATGCACACCTTGGATGGCATGTCTGAGCTGCACCGGGAGCTGGCCACGCTGCGGCTGAGCCCCGAGGACCTGGCGGCAGGGCTGCGCAGGGCGGCGCAGGAGGCGGAGGAGGAGCGACGGCGAGGTGGGGTGCAGAGGAGAGGCGGGGAGTGGGCCGCCGGCGCAGGGTGGTGGTCGGGTGGATGGATGCGGAGGGAGGGGTGGTGGTGGTGTTTTCTGGTGTGGGGGGACCCGCCAGCAGGCTGCCGCTGCCGGGGAGGCTTGCTTGGCGCCGAGCTGCGCAGCCTGCTCACCGGCAGCCCACCCTTCCCATCCTCACGCTGCCCTGGGCTGCAGAGCTAACAGAAGGGGAGTGGGAGACTGTGGGGGAGACTGCGCAGGAGGAGGAGGCTGGGGAGGCGGGCGGCGAGGCCCAGCCGCAGCCTGGCGGCCGCGGCGGCGGGCGCTTTGGTGGGCGTGCAGGCCTTGGCCGCGGCGGGCGCGGCGAGCATTTCGGGAGAGGCCGCGGCGGGCGGGGCGAGCAGCTGGGCGGCGGCGGCGGCCGCGCTGGGCGTGGGCGTGGCGGGCGGGGCAGGAGCCAGCCGTATCAGGGGCCTCAGCAGGAGCGCCCTGATGGCGGCGAGCATGGAGGCGCGGCTGGCAATGCAGCGCCCGCGCCCGCGCCGCCGCCTGCCGCGCCAGGCCAGGCGGCATCGAGGGCTGCCGCCCCAGAGGCTGCCCCGGATACAGCCGGGGAGCTGGGCAGCGCAGCTCCGGCGCCCCAGCAGCCGCCGCCGCCGGCGGGCGAGCGGCGGGGCCCGGTGCCCGGCCGCGGACGGTTTGGCGGCGGCCGCGGGCGTGGCGGCGGCCGCGGCGGGGCACCCGCTCCTCCGGCCGCCGCCGCTGAGGGCGCGGCGCCGCCTCAGCGCCAGCACACCCAGCGCCCGCCTGCACAGCAGCGGGCGGAGGCGGCAGGGCAGGCAGGCGCCGGCTACGTGCCGCCAGATGCCAGCCCCACCACTGCATCCCTGTACTTCAGGCCGCCGCCTGGGAACCAGCAGTACCAGCAGTACCAGCACCAGCAGTATCAGCAGCAACAGCACCACCAGCAGTATCAGCAGCACCAGCACCACCAGCAATATCAGCAGCACCAGCAATACCAGCAGCACCCACCCGACGGCGGGCCAGCGGGGCCCACAGGCCCGCCTCATGCCGGCGGCCGCGGCAGGGGCCGGCACACCGCCTCGGGTCGCGGGCCGCCACCCGCCACGCACGCTCCCCACGCGGAGCACGCGCCGCCGCCGCCGAATGCGCCTGCTCCGCCACCAGAGCGCCCCACACCAGCCTACACTCCCGCTCCCCCCACTGGCAACAGCCAGCACCCCGGGCGAGGCCGCGGGGGCTACTCTGGCCGCGGGCGCGGCAGGGGAGGGAGGGCGTACGCGCCGGGACGGGGCGACCCCAACCAGTTTGCCCACGCGGCACGCCCCCCGGCGGGCACCACCCCTCCCGCCGCTGCCTGATTGGCCGCGCCCTGCTGCGCCAGGGCTGATGCAGCACCCGCCTTCCTCCGCCTGCGCTGGTTTGGGCTCGCAGAGGAGAATGAACGAATGCCACGCGTAATGGCTGATGCAACACCCCGCACACCAAAAGCAACGTCCCTGAAACCTATGAAACATCTGCTGAATGCTTTGATCCATCTCTGCCTCGCATGAACTCTACACTTGATCGATGCATCCCCTGGACCCTGCTCCGCTGGCGCTTCCCGCTGGCGTGCGCGGCCATGCGTCCCGCGTGCCTGCTGGCCTTCTATTTAGGAGCTGCTGCTCCGCGTGCCTCGTGTCCCCTACCTCACACACCTGTAAACTCTTCTGGCCGCAGCCGGCTTCCTTTGGGCGCATGTGAGCTGGTACATGTGAGGTGTTGCATGAGGGCACACAGGCACGATGGGGGACAGACGCCATCTTGCTTGCTGGCTGGCTTGGCCTGCAATAACTGCAGCGGCAAACTTGTACACAGAGAGAAGAAGGAGAGAAGCAAGTTGTGAAAGGCAGTCATTCCATTCGTGATCTGATCATACTTCAGGGATGAATTGTCAACTGCTAGGCAGGAACAATAGACTGAGGTGGCCAACGGCGGCAACGCACATGGGGCTGCTGCGGTGGGCAGCCAATATGGTACACAGAGGGCGGCGGCGGTGGGTGTGGTTGAAACAGGAGGACAAGGTGCCCGCCCCGCCAAATGAAACAGTGCCGCAACAGTAACACACAGATGGCAGAACCTAAGCCTGGTGTACAGAGACAGAAGAGGGGAGGGGTGAACATACGGCAGAGGCGCGCTCGCGCCCTGCAGGGGTGCATCACGGTACATGGCGTGTGCACGCCTGGGCGCCTGTGGGCCTCACGCCTTGCGCGTGTGCGCGTACGACGCCTGCGCCGGCACCGGCGGCGAGTCCCGGGTGCTCGGGGTGGGCGGGCGCTGCTCGCTCCAGTCCCCCAGCTCCAGCTCCAGCGCCCCGGGCTGCAGCGAGGCGGCCAGGCGGCGGCCGATGAACAGCGGGGCGTTGGTCTGCATGGCCAGAGCCAGGCTGTCTGCACACGCAGGAGGGCAGGCAGGGGGGTGGCGGGCAAGGAGGAAAGAGTGAGAAGGCTGGCTGGATGGGTCGGAGGCACATCATGCGCAGCGGCATGCCCCACGCCGGCCAGCGCTGCGCTGCAACCATGCCCCATGCCGGCCGGCTGCGGCTGCGGCTGCGGGTGGCGGGCGGCGACGCACCCGAGGGGCGGGCATCCAGGGAGCGCAGCTCGCCGCCAGGCACCGACAGAATGATGCGGGCATATACAGTGGTGCCCACTGCACAGCGGGTTTGCAGGAAGAAAGGAGGGCAGGCGCTGGCTCAGGGGGCAGCCAGGGCGCGAGACGAGCGGCGGCGAGAAAAGCATAGCCCCAGACCTGCCATCCAAGCACATGCAGCGCGAGGCTGTCACCCTCCTCTCCCTCCTGCCTCCCCTGCCCCGCCTTGCACCCACACACAGCCACGCACACCACACACACACACACACCGCCTCACCCAGGCGAGTGATGAGCACTCGGTCCACGGTGGCGCCCGCAGCCTGCAGGCTCCTCACCCACAGAGACATGGTGGAGGGGCGGCGGAACTCGGGGCCTGCGGGCAGCCAGGAGGCGGCGGGGGGAGGGGAAGCCAGGGCGGCCTTGGTGGTTGATCGCTCGGCAGGGCGAAGTGGGCTGCGCCGTCTGGTGCTGATGCCAGGCATCAGGACGCCTGCAGGCTCCCAGGCCCGCCTGCTGCGCCACAGCAAAGGGAGCCAGGAACAGCGAGCAGGCAGGCGCCCACCCGCGGCGTGGAAGAGCTGGGCTGCGTCGTTGATGCCCACAGCGATCGGCACCGGCATGTCGTAGCCCTTGGCAGCCAGCAGCGCCACGCCCCCCAGGTGGTCCAGCCCAATCTCCGCAATCTGTGCCGGCCCAGGCCGGGGCAGGGGCACGGCCAGGGGCAGCGGCGGGCGGCAGGGAATGACTTCAGAGGCCACGACTGGGTTGGCCCCTGGGGGCTACCACGGCGCCAGGCGTGTGCACAGAAGCGCAGGCAGCTGCAGCTTGGGACGAGGGGCCTCCAGGTTGGCTGCCAGGGCAGCTCCCCGCTGGGGCGTGCCACATGCAGGCAGGGCGCCGGGCGGCTCGCCAGCTCACCGTGGCCGCCACGTACTCGCCCTCTGCGCCGCCGATCCCGTCCCACCCATCAAACGCGGGTGGCATGCCCGGCCCGGCGACGGGCTGCGCCCTGCAGCGCAGGACGGCGCGGCACGCGGAGCCTCCAGGATCTCAAACCAGGACAGGAGCGGGTCGTGCCGCCGTGCTCCCTCCCTCCTGTCTGCCTCTCCACCGCTCGGCAGCTCAGCCGGTGCCACCCCTGCTGCCCCTCACAGCCTCCATGCCACCACCCAGCAGCACAGCAACAACCACCTGCCCACCTGACGGCATCGCCCAGAGGGTCGATCCGCACCAGGCTGGCGCCCTGGGCGGCCACCACCTCGCGCAGCAGCTGCCCCGACTCGCCGTCCACCACCCGCCAGGGGTGCGACTCGAACGTGTACACACTCCACCAGCCCCCCGCGGGGATGGCCGCGAAAAATTCCTGGTCCCCGGCGTAGTTGACCCCTGCGGGCGCGGCGCCCAGGTGCAAACGCGTGAGGTGCGCACACGTGCGGCACGGCGGCGGCGGGTTTGGGAGGGGTAGGCAAGGGCGCGGCGCTCGGTTCCTCCTGTTCAAAAGGGGTGGAAAGTGGGTGGAAGAGCACTCACAGTAGACCTTGACCAGCCTGTCGTGCTCATTGCGGAAGGTGATGAGGCAGGGGGTGCGGCTCGCCAGGCTGCGCAGCCCCTGCTGCTGCTGGGGGAGGGAACGAAAGAAGTAAAAAAAATGAACAAGGGAAGAAAAAAGTGTTTCAGGTCAAGCCAGCTTGCCGACCAGACGCCGACCAGAACCAGACTGCGACCAGACTGCGACCAGCACTCCCTGCGTCAAGCTGCGCACCTGCACGCCCGCATGCGCCTCCTGGATAGGCCCCAGCAGCAGTGCTGCGCTTCCGGCCAAGGCGGCCAAGAGGAGTGTGCGCCGGTCTAGGCCGGCTGGAGCTGGCGATTCCACGTCTGCAAGCTCGGGCTGGCACCGGCAACCACCGCTGGCACGAGCGACACGACCGGCGGAGAGCGCCAGCGCCGAGCAGCGCTGCCGTCCAAGGGCGGGGCGCTGCGGCCAGGGCTGGGCCGGCCGCGCTGTGGCCTGCGTCTGCATCGCTGCTGCTGCCGTTGCACGGGATAGGGAGCCGAGGAAGCAGAACGTTTTTGAGTTTGGGTGTGGCACTGAGCAGCGCCCAGATGCCTCGTGCTGCGCTCCTTTGTGCTGCCCTTGCACGTGATAGGCGCGGGATCGGCTGAGGTGCGCAAGAGGCCTCCTGCAGGGGTTCCTGCCGTACACGGCTGTCCCGCCCTGCAGGAGGAGCATGCTTCCAGGGCTCGCCCTCCCGCCATCACAGCCTGCTGCGCCGAGTTAATTGATCGCACCAGCCCCGCAGCGAGAGCCTGTCGCCCAGACTGCCGCGCCATCACAATGAGCAGTGAGGCCGACTTGAAGAAACTCCGGGTCGCGGAGCTTCGAGATGAGTTAGCCAAGCGCGGCCTGGACACCAAGGGGGTGAAGGATGACCTGGTGGCGCGACTTGCCGCGGCGATGGAGGCGGAGGCGGCTGAGGGCGGCGCGGAGGAGGCAGCCCAAGAGCAGCCTGCCGCACAGGCGCCAGCTGCCGCGGAGGCAGCGACGGGAGAGGTGAGTGGGGCTGGATGGCGGGAGCGGCGCCGCCTCCCGCCACCCGCTTTTGCGCTGCTGCCCCTCGTGCTGCCTGCCAACGGTGCATGTGCGACCCCTGCCGCCAGCAGGAGGAGCCCGCTCCCGCTGCAGCCGAGGACGGCGCGGCAGCCGCCGGCGAGGAGGCCGCGCCGGCCCCCGCGGCTGGCGCCGACGCGGCGGCACCCGCGTCCGCGGCTGGCGCGCAAGAGCCCAAGCTGACCGAGGCCGAGAAGGCCCGGCTGCGGGCTGCGCGGTTCGGCATGCCGGTGGTGGCGGACAAGAAGAAGGAGGGCGGCGGCGGCGGGGAGAGCGTGATTGGCGGGCTGGGCCAGGTGGACATGAAGGAGGAGATTGATCGGCGCAAGAAGCGCGCCGAGCGGTTTGGCATGCCGGTGCCAGTGCTCAAGGAGGAGGTGGGGCCTGCTGCCGATGCATTCAGCTCCCGCTGCTCCTCCTCCTGCTGCTGCTGCCCTGCTGTGGCCTGCCTTACAGATCATGTCTGCAGCTGCTGGCTGCCTGCTGCGGTGCTGGATGGCGCCGGTGCCGCACGGCCTGCCGCTCACCAACGCTGCCCGCAACCCCCTGCTGCCGCGTTCGCAGGAGGACCTGAAGAAGAAGCAGCGCGCGGAGCGGTTTGGGCTCAAGGTGCCGCTGAGCAAGGAGGAGTTTGAGGCCAAGAAGAAAGAGCGGGCTGAGCGGTTTGGGGGCGGGCCCGCGGCGGAGGCGATGAAGTCTGGGATGACAGAGGAGCACAAGAAGAAGCTGGAGGAGAGGGCCAAGCGCTTCGGCATGATCGCCAAGTGAGCGCGGCAGGCAGGTCAGAGGTAAGTACCGGAGGACAGCGCGAGGAGCGCGGTGGCGGCGGCGGCGCGTCTCCCGCCGTCTCCCGCCGCCGTCTCCCGCCAGCAACGCACGTTTCACGCCACCCTTTTTCCCTCCTGATATTGGCAGCACTCCTGGATACTGGGCTGACAGACACACCACACTTGCCATCAGCAATGTTGTAAACGCATCTACCTTTCACAGCTCTGCCAGGGCCGGGGCACACCAAAACGCTACCAGCCCAGCGGCACACTAATCCAGCAAGCATGCCCACTCTCGCTCTGCTATCATCTCCCCGCGGCACAGCCTGCGCTCACAGGGCGCGCAGCCTGCCCAGCATCTGCTGGGCACGCCCGCCTCCCAGCGGGGCCGCCAGCCGCTCCAGCGGCGCCACCAGCCCCTTGAGCCCGCTGTGCAGCGCCCGGCACCGCTCCTGCCGCCGCTCTAGCTCCAGGTCCACCTTGTTGTGCCACGCAGTGTTGCTGCAGGGGGAGCGGGGGAGGCAGGCAGAAACTGGTATGTTTCAGCTTTACCATGCAGCTAACTAGTTTAGTGGAGCGGCAAGAGCCGGCACCTCAGCGGCAGCTGCAAAGCGCGGCTGCTGCCCACCAGCCTCCAGCCCGCGCCCCAGCCTTGCACTCCTGCCACCCACCCCAGCAAGTCGTGCATGTAGCTGCCCCAGCGCCCCAGGATGGCGTCCAGCAGCACCAGGGCGGCCTGGGCGTGCAGAGGGGTGCCCGAGGCCAGCAGCATGCCAGCCAGCGGCAGGCTGGCGGCGCAGGCATCGATGGTGAAGCGGTCTCGCTGCCGCTGTACCGCCCCGCTCTCTATCACCTTGGCTGCCATGCTCAGGTCTGCGGCAAGTGGACCAGGGGCAGGCAGGCAGCGGTTTGCTGCGTACCGGCACGCTGGCTGCAACGCCCGACTACCAGCCAGCCAAACAACGCCTGTGGGAGGTGGGCAGACACCCCGCCGGTGCAGCCAGCAGGAGCTCACTCACCCTGGCTATCCTCCAGCAAGCGGATGGCCTCCCGCAGCGCCCCGCGCCGCAGCGCAGCCTGCACCTCCCGCCACAGGCTGCGCTTGGTGCGCAGCATGCTGCACTGCGCTTTGCCGCGCTGAAGAGCAGCCGCCTGGAAGCCGCGGTGTGTGGCCACCGACAGCATGCTCGGTGCTGCGCTGGTGCAGTCCTGCGGCAGGCCTGCCACAGCGGCAGGCTGGGGCTTGGGGGTGGGGCTGCCGGCATGGCTGTCGTCACCCGATGCGTTCTCCTGTGCAGATACACGGTGGCGGCTGGCCTTGCCTTCGCTGCCAAGGGTGCTACGCTGCGGGGTGGGGGAGCCCGCCCCTGGGACCGCCGGCGAGGGCTGCTCACGCGCACGAGGCGCGGCCCCGCTTGGCACAGCGACAGTGAAGGTGGCATGCTGGGCCTGCCGCCGGCTGGGGCGCCCCGCAGGGGCCGCAACCACCTCCACAGCTGGGCCAGCGTTCACCGTTCGCGGCTCCAGCACCGTGGGCACCTGGCGCTGCCGCGCCGCCGCAAGCAGCGCCGCCGGGCCCGCCTGCTCCACGCCAGCAGCCGCAGGCCAGGCAGCAGGGATGGTGGTGGTAGGGTTGGGGGTGGTGCTCGGCGGCAGCGGGAGGCCCGGGCACTGGTCTCCCAGCCGCAGCTTGCTGGCCATGGAGGCGCTCAGGCCTGGCAGGTCTCCCTCTGCAAACCATCAGAGGCATCCCAGAGCATAGCTGTATCATGTTTCTGCGCTCTCCAGCCAGCAAGCCATCGGTGGATCCTGCCCTGCCAGCGGCTCAGCAACGTCAGGAACACACACAGCACAGCGCCACCCACCGGCTTGTGAGGAGCCGGCGCGCGGGGCTGCCGCCGCCCGGGCAAACGGGCGCAGCTTGGTGAGGTCGACACAGTACAGGCCGGCATCGCCCTTGAACAGGCTGGTGCCGATGCACTTGCCATCGGTGTAGCGGATGGCGGCCACCTGCGGGACAGGCACAGGAGGAGCGCTCCGGGGGACACATGCTGGTGGCTGATGAGCGAGGCGAGGAGAGGGACAGCCTGGTGCTGCCGCCGGGCTGCCCCTCTCAGCGCTGCGGCTGCGGCGGCTGCTGGTCGACCCTCACGGCCCTGCATGCATGCCAGGCTTGCACATGCACGCCCAGCCAGCCACCCTACCCTCCCCACCTTGCTCCACTGCACGTCTGCTGTGTCGTGGTGCGCCAGCGGGTCCAGAGTGAAGGTGCGCAGGCAGTCGGGGTAGGCGGCCAGCAGGGCTCGGCCCGCGGCGGCAAACGCCACGGCGCGCACCTCGCGCCGCCCCTCGGGGCCGTGCACGCCGATGCAGGTGCCCGGCTGGGCATCCATGTCCCACACGCGCAGCGTGCGGTCCAGGGAGCTGGTGACAAAGAGGCGCTCCTCCGGGTGGCAGGCGATGCCGGTGACGGCGGCGGTGTGGTGCCCCGTCAGGTCATGCAGCAGGCGCCCCGCCTCGCCGCCCGCCACGTGCCACACGCGCAGCCCGCCGGCCGCGTCGCCGCTGATCAGCAGCTGCCCGTCGGGCGTGAACTCCAGGCGGGTGATGGGCGCGGCGTGGCCCCGCAGCGTCTGCGCCGCCACCCGGATCACCCTTGGGTGCAGCTGGGTGCTGGCACCGCTGCCGTCTCCTCCCCCTGCCCCTCCTGATCCTGCTCCACCACTCCCGGCCAAGCACCAGAGCTTGACATTGGTGTCCGCCGACCCCGTGGCCAGCAGCGACAGCGGGGCCATGCAGGCCAGAGAGGTGACGTCGGCACGATGTGCCACCAGCGTGCAGGCCGCTGCGAGAAGGGAGGTGGGGTGGGGCTCAAGGGCGTAGGCCAGGGCTGGGATTGGCGGGCAGCATTCGGCAGAGAGTGAGCATGAGCAGAGCGAGAACAGTAGCTCCCCATTGATGCGTACCGGCGCCGCGCTCGACGTCCCACACCCGCACATTGCCGCTCTTGTGGCCGGCAAGCACGCGCTCCGCGCCGTCTAGCTCCGCCCAGGCCACGCAGGTGGCGGCGGAGGTGATCTTGGATGGTTCTGTCAGGCGCTGCAGATGCGGCAAGCACAGAACGGCAAGACAGGGAGGATTTGTTCGGCGCTTGCGGGACAGGGCGCCGGCGGCAGCGACGTCCGGCAGGGAGTGGGCGGTTGGGCAGCGGCAGGCGGCTTGTGTCGAACATGACAAGGCTCCCTCTCACCTGCACCACGTCGCCATTGCTGGTTGCGAAGATAAGCGCCTCCCCGCTCTCCCCTCCCGCAAGCAGGAGCGGGCAGGAAGGGTGCAGCTGCGCGCAGCCCATGCTGCCCGCCCTCTCCAGCCGCAGCAGCAGGGAGGCTGTCGCGCGGGAGGCGGGCTCTGGGGTGAAGGCCATGTCGCGCCGAAACGAGTCAATGCCTGCCTGCTGCTCGCCGCAGCGACTCTGGGACACGGTGAGAGGACATAGATTACACAGGGATTGCTGAATGGGAGTGAGGGAGGCGCAGCTGTCCCCAACAGAGGTGGGCCCCACAGCGTGCCCAGCAGCGACGAGCGGCGCACCTGCTCCGTTCGCTACAGGCTTCTTCCATTCTGCTGCTGCCCCTGCCCGCCGCTGCTTCCACTGCCCCCGCTGCCGTCTGCGCTTTCCTCACCGTCTGCTGCCTGCAGCGCCCCCAGCCAGCCGCCCGCCGTCTCCTGCAGCACCGCCAAGCTGCCGTCGTCGAGGTGCCCCAACTTCTGCTCTAGCCCTGACAGGCGCGCAGCCAGTCTGCATGCGCACGGCCACAAGGATGGATTCATGTGCCCTGCTCTCAATCAAGACCCCGCAGCATAGCTGTGGGTTTGTGGCGCATCCTGGGCAGCTCTGTTGTGCACCCGCCTGCCTGCTCCTCAGCAGCACACACGCACGGCCCAGCCGCAGCGTCGGCCCACCCATCCATCTGTCGCAAAACCGCCACCTCAGTGACAGGTGCAGCGCTTGACGCTGCAGCACTGTTAGAGGCCGCGTCTGCTGCGGCGGCAGAGGAGCCGTTGGCACTGGTGTCCGCCGCCGCCGCCCGTTCCTTGGTTTTCTCCAGCACCCCCAGCTGCTGGCGCAGCTGGTCCAGCCGTGACCGGGCCTCGGGGTCCTCGCCCCCTTGGGCCGCCTCCAGCTGAAAGGGTGCAAGCAGTGCTGCTGTGTGAGTGCTGCACAGGCGGCGGCAGTAGGAGCTGCACAGGCGGCGCGGCTGCCGGGGCAGCGCAGCCCTAGCACAGCGGCACCCTGCGTAGTGAGCCCGGAATCGAGGCCCCGGACCTCTTGCGTCGCAGAATGCACGCCTGTCACCTGCTGCAATAGCTGCTGGAGGGCGTTCAGCATCTCATCTCCGCTCATGTGTGGGTGTTAGGCCGCTTGGCGACTGTGATGATCAGTCCACATCGATGCGCAGGTTTGGGCAGAACGGTTTATCAATTTGGCAGCCTCGATTCAAGTCGCCACGTGTCACAAAACACAGATGGCTGAATTTCACCTCCTGTGCTCTCCTGAAGCTCCTCCTTCGGTCTGCCAGAGGCCAGACGGATCCTGGAAGCCAAAAGCCGCCTTTGCTCACTAACGTGCTGGGGTTGTGGCCGCCCCTGGGCTTGCCAACCCCTTTTCTCCTAGCCTGGCGGCAAGTGCCATCGATCGGCAAGTGCAGCAGTGTCGAGGAGCTCCAGCCTCACCATGTTGAGAGCCCGCAGGAGGCTCGCTGCGTTCCCCGGCCGGCTGCAGGATGTCTGGGCGGGCCTACAACAACGCAATGTCAGCTCGGCGGGGACAGGGGGAGGAGGCGACAGCGGCAGCGGCGGCACCGGCGGCGGCAGCAAGAGCAGCGGCGGCGACCCACCCAGCGCGCCAGAACACTTTGCCAAGGCGGCCGCTGACAGCTTCCACAAGTGCGTTGTGGTCTGCCACTACTGTGGCAACAGCGCGCCAGCGTGCAGGCCGCCGTTGCTGTCTGGCACGTATCGCCACGCAACCTGGCCAGGCCTGCGCTGCCTCGCTGCCCTCCCTGCACCCTGTCACCACATCCCCTGACCTGCCATGCCCTGCATCGCCGCGCCTCGCAGGGCTCCCAAGGAGACGGCTGTGGCGCTGGTGCGGCAGCTGAACGAGCTGGACAAGATCCACCTGGTGCTGGCGCTGCAGGAAGTGACCAAGAAGGCGTCCCGCCACAAGGAGGCCACGCAGTACATCGATGACCTCGTCAAAGCGGTACAGCTGCCAGTCAACAAGCAGCACAGCAAGCTGACGCGGTGGGTGGCGCGCGCAGGCGCGGCCGGGCCAGGCGGGGCAGCCGGGGGCAGCTGCGCTGGGACCCCGAGCGCGGCATGCCTGTGCCCGTTCAAGCGCGTGGCCTGCCAGATCGCGTTGCGGGCCTGCTTGCTTGCCGGCGCCGCCTTGGCTGTGGTCGTGATCGCCGGCCCCCAGCACGCGTGCGCCCGCTTCCCCGCCTGCAGGCAGCAGATCGAGCGCGCCGTATCCTACCAGCGCTCGCTTCAGAAGTTCAGCGCGGTGTCGGAGGAGGAGCCCAGCTGGCGCCAGCTGGCCGCCATCGGCATCGCCTCGGGCCTGCCCTTTGTGGTCTTTGGCTTCCTGGACAACGGTATCATGCTGGTGGCGGGGGAGCAGATCGACGCGGTGTTTGGGGCCAGGTTCGGCCTGACCACGCTGGCCAGCGCGGGGCTCGGCAACCTGGTGGCGGATGTGGTGGGCGTGAGCGCCACCCACTCGGTGCAGGACCTGCTCAAGCGCACGGGCTGGGTCAGGCCGCCTCCGCTCAGGTCGGTGGGCACGCCTGCGCGCCGGCTTCTGACTGGCGGGCCGCCGGCTGGGGCTGCTGCCGTGTGTTTGGCTGGGGCCGGGTGCGAATGCGCTCGCCGTGCTGCCTCCCGCGCCGCCTCGAGGCGAAGCTGGGTTCCCAGAGCCGCACAGCAGCGCCATGCTTGTGCTGAGCACCTCTCGCTCCTCTTCCGCGCGCCTGCAGCATGCTCCAGCAGCAGCACCCGCAAGTGAAGGTCGCCCAGCTGGTGGGGGCGGCCATGGGCGTGGCAGTGGGCTGCATGGCTGGCATGGCGCCGCTTGGGTTCATGGAGCATGGGCTGTTTGTGGATAGTGCCAGCTCAGCAGCTGACCTGGCAGCAAACGCAGCAGCAGAGCTCGGCGATTTCAGCGATGCGGCAGCACTGAGCGGCGCGGGCGATGCAGCGGAAGGGGCGGCGACCATGGCAGGAGGCGGCGACGCAGGCGGCGCCGCGGCGGGCGCCGCCCAGGCAGCAGAGGTGGCAGCTGGGCCCACGATCCCTCCCGCCGGCTTCTCACCCGGCGTCGCAGAGGCAGACGTGGCAGCGGCAGCAGCAGCGGCAGCTACCATGGCCGCCGCTGCCGTGGCAGCGCCCGAGGCCGCAACCACAGCCGAGGCCGTCATGGCAGCACAGGTCTCTGCGGCGCACGACGCAAAACCCTCCTGACACGGCCCTGCCCCGTGACGTAACTCCTTCTTGCCGCATTGCCAGTCCCCGCCCTTGCGCACTGTCCATCTCTTAATTCTTCCCCTTCCTGGGAGCCCCGCTCCCGCCTTGTCGCCTCCATGAGGCTCAGCTGCCCCTTCTTCTTGTAAGGCAGCAGCTAGTGAGCGGACCCAGCGGCATGCCCAATGTGCTGTGCTGCTGGCGGTGAGTTACATGCATGCCATCCTTAGCAAATCAGGAGTGGGTTCATGCAAGGGGTCTGAACTGCACTGGAGGGGAACAAATCAGTCGACAGGCATGGGTTGACGAGTCAACAAGCAGTCGACAGATGGGTTCACCAAATCAGCCGACAGATGGGGTCAACAAATCAGTCGACAGATGGGGTCGACAAATCAGGATAGATGGGATCCAGGAAGGCATTGCAAAGTCACCAAAACCGGGCTGGTGCAAGAATCAGGGATCGGGCGGATGGCAAGCAGGCGGAATGCGCTAGCTAGGCACGAGGATGGCAGCGAGGGTGGCAACGCAATCACGGGGCAGGTACACCAGCCAGACCCTCCCAATCAGCCACCGTAGTCCATGCCCGAGGCAGTCGCTGTGTCGCTGGGCTTCTTCTTCTTCTTCTTCATCTTGGGGCACACGCAGATCTTGCCTGCAGCATGAGGACAACAGGGCAGCATGAGGACGACATCAGGCTTGATACAACTCGTTGCACTCGAGGTGACAAAGTCTGGCAGGCTGGGGCTTCCGTGGTGGAGGGTTTGCAGGCCTGCTGGGCGACTCACCCTTTAGCGACTTCCAGGTCAGAGGGGAGGTGCTCTCCAGGAAGTAGAGGCTCACCTTCTTGTGCTTCCTGCACCAGGCAGGCATGTGCTGGGCATGCAGCGGGGCAGCTGGGAGGGACCAGCACGCATGCGGGCGGCTGGCGGCGGCTGGAGGGGCGCGGGGCAGGCAACCGCGGCGCGGCGGCAGCTCGCTCTCGCGCACATGAGGGACACGGTGACGACCTTGCAGATCTTCTTAGGCATCTTCTTGGGGTCTGTGTCCATCGTGTCCAGATGGCAGCACACCTCCTCGCTGTGCAGCAGCGGAATGGCAGAGGGACGGGATCAAGAGCCTGCTCACTGCTTGGCTGCAGCAGCAGCGCGGTCCAGCATGCAACGCAGGGCAGCATGCAACGCAGGGCGGCACCCTGGACTCACACTGCCCCCGTGCACTCGGGCGGCGGCGGCTTCTTCTTCACCACCACCACCACTGGCTTCTTCTTCACCACAACCACCTCTGGCTTCTTCTTCACCACAACCACAGGGGGCGCGGCGGGCCTGCAAAGGGTGCAGGTGGAGCCAGAGCGGGACCTGAGCGGACAGAGCTGCCGCAGCGTGGCCTGCTTGGCGGCACATGCTTGCCAAAACGTCCACGCAGCAGCACCCACCGGCCCACCGACTTACTTGGGCTGCACCTTCACCTTCTTCACGGGCATCTTCTTCACGGGCACAGCCTCGGCGCGGGCAGCCGCAGATGCCTTTGCCTCGGCAGCCGCAGCGCCGCGGGCGCGAGCGGCAGCAGCCGCCTCGGCCTCGGCCTCGGCAGAGCCGTGGGCGGCGCGGGCGGAAGCCTCGGCCTTGGCGGCTGCAGAGGCAAGCTTGCCAGCAGCCTCGGCGTGGGCCTTGGCCGCGGCGCTGGCCTCCGCGGCGCTCGAGTCATCGCTCAGGTGGCGACCTGTGGCGGGGAGGTGTTGGCGGTGGGAGTGGCGGCAAGAGGCGGGGGAGCGCGGAGGTGCGACAGGTTCGCGCCGGGCTTCACCTTACAGGCTCTAGGGAGCAGTCCAAGGCTCCAGGCAGCACCAGACAGGCGAGCAGCGCAGCCTTGGACTCACCGGCCTGGGCGCCGCCGAGCAGAGCGGCCAGGAGCAGCAGGGTGGCGGTTGAGGCCCTCATGGTGCTTGCAGGCGGGATGTGGGAAGCAGGGCAAAGATAATGAGGGCAGCTTGCCCACTTGCAGCCCACGATGGCTTCTGCCAGCTACCCGAGGAAGAATGTTGGGCACTTTAAAGTTTGAAGGGCTTCAAACTTAAATCTCAACGCTGGGGAGGCTGCCAAGCACCCCAGGGCATCCATTCTGCTCCTCCGGGGCAAAGCGCAGGCCTGCCGGCGACAGCGCCCCTGTCGATCGTTTCTGTGTTGCGCTCCTCTTCACTCGTCCACAGAGCCCAAACATGGAGGCAGGGGGCGGCCCACCAGCCTCCACGGCCCCGCCGGTGTCCGCCGCCGCGGACGGCGCCACCAGGCAGCCCTCCCTGGTGAGCCAGCTACGCCAAATGGCCGAGGAACGCACTCGCAACCCCGGTTTCATCGCCCAGCTGGAGAGCGGGCGCGTGGCTGCGCTGCCCCGGGAGCATGCCGACCATGCCGCGTTGAGCGGCAGGGAGGAGCAGCGGCGCCCGCTGGCCAGCTACGCATCTGGCAGTGCAGTGATGTGCCCAAACGGCGTGCCGCGCTTTGTGATGTACAAGTACGAGGAGGTCAGGCGCTGCACCCCCGGCTTCCCCCCCAGCTACGGTGCGCTCCCCGCTCGCGGGGTGGCCCACGCGGCCGTACCCCGCGCGCGCAGCGGGCCACGGGACGCCCGCCCCGCACCTCCACACCGCCCATCGCCGCTGGCGCAGGGCTGGCCACCGCCGCCGCCGCCGCTGCCCTGTGCCTGCAGAGATTGTGGAGCGTCGCGTCTTCCTGGATGACGGCCCGAGCCCAGCGAAGAAAGCTCCGCAGGTGGGCAAGGAGTCTGCGTCTGCCCGCCGGGCGGCGGCCGAGGAAAGCAGGCAGGAGGTGGAGGACTCGCATCGTGCCGTGCCCCTCGCGCTGGGCGGCACGGGGGACGTCAACGCAGAGACGGCGGCGCTTGCAGCCAGCCCGCAGGCCAGCGCCGAGGGGGCCGCGGGCCGCCCACCCGCGCGTAAACAAAAGATGATGCTGCTGGGCCGGTCCCTGGCGCCAGCGCACTGAGCGGGTGAGGGAGACCAGCGGGCACCTCGCCCACCGACCACGTGCTGCCGCCCATCCCATCCCAATGTGGCAGACACCTCCATCCACCCTCGCTCCTCTTACACTCGTAAACGGGTATTGCTCACTCCAGAAATGCCCAGTGAAAGGTTTTTTAAAAAAGAAGAAGAGAAATGAAGTGATGTAAATGTGTGTAAGCGATGGATTGCTGTGGGAAGCTGATGGCGGCAGTCGAAAGATGAAGCAGATCGGGGCAAGGGTGCAACCACCAGGCAACTGGAAGTCCAGGTGCGGTGAAGGCAAGGTACAGCATGTGTCACCCCTGCTGGCGCCGCCGCTCAAACGCCAGGAATGCTGCTGCCAGCGTGGTGGGCGCGGGAGGGCTGGCCGCCGCGGGCTGCACAGGCGCCGAGGCTGGCTCCTCGGCGCCGGCTGCCAAGGCAGACGGCGCAAGAGGCTCGCGAGAACCAGAGGGCTGCTGCGCCCCGAGGGGTGGGCAGCCCAGGGGTGGGGCACCGAGGGATGCGGCACACGGTGGGCTTGCGGTGCTCCCTGTGGTGCCCACTCCCTGCCCAGGGCCAGGCACGGCACGCTGCCTCTTGGCGGGTGCGGCAGACGCCTGCTGGGGATGCGGCTGGGCTGCCCGGCCGGCGCCGGAGCTGGCCTGGTGCGCTGCCCTCTTGCGCAGCCGCCGGCCTTGCTGGGTGCAGCCAGCCGCGGCGCCGGCGGCAGGGTCTGCTGGCGCAGGCTCCGCCGCGACAAAGCTGAGGGTGGCGGGGCTGCCGCCGCCAGAGGGCGCCCCTGCCACAGCATGCCCGCCGCTGCCTCCACCGCTGCCCCCGCCCCCTGCCTGGCCAGCTGGCTGGGCAGGCAGGCTGTGGCAGCTCCCAAACGCGGGCGCGGCTGGTGGGAAGGGCTGGGAGGGCTGGGGTGGTAGCGAGTGGTGCCGCGTGGCGGCGGGGGTGCTGGCATCCAGTGCTGAGAAGTCCATCTCCGCCAGAAGCTGGTCGAAGATGTCTGGGCTGCTGCCCACGTTCCCTGCCGCTGCTGCCGCCTGCCGCCCTTGGCCTTGCTGCTGCGGTGCCTCCAGTGGAGCTGGTGCGGCAGCGACTGCCACCGGCGCCTCAGCCTGCTGTGCTGGCACGCCAGAGGGGATCGGCAGCCGAGGCGAGGGTAGCTGCTGCTTTGCCGCTGCAATTGGCGGGGGTTGAGCAGCTACCTGGGCGGAATGGAACAGCTGCTGCGGCTGCGGCTGCAGGGCTGTGTGCGCCATGCTGGGCAATGCTGGGTTGGGCGTGGTGGTAAGGGGTGCGATGGGCAGCTGCTGTGCAGGAGTCGCGGGGGCGGTCTGAAGCTGCAGTTGCGGCTGGAGTGGAGGCTGCTGCTGCTGCTGCTGCTGCATCAGCGCAGGCATGCCACCGGCCGCCGCCTGTCGCTGCTGCAGCTGCCTCAGATGTAGCAGCAGCAGCTGCTGCTCCTGTTGAACCAAGTTGCAGGCACCACCGCCAGCAGCCAGGCCGGTGGCTGCCCCCTGCCCACAGTGCTGCAGGATGGCCAGCTGCTGCTGCTGCGCCAGCTCCACCTGGGCGTGCGTGTTCAGCACCTGCTGCTGCGCATGCTGTGCAGCCTGCAAGCCCTGCTCCTGCATATGCTGCTGATCCTGGAGCTGCCGCCGCAGCTCCAGCTGCTGAGCCAGCGAGTAGCTACCCCCGCCCGCCGCCGTCGCCGCCGCCCCGCCTTGCTCCTGAGCCTTCTTCCGCCTCAGCGCGCTGCTGCCGCTGCTGCTGGCGCGAGCGCCAGCTCTGCTCTGGCTCGCCTGCGCCGGCTGTTGGGGCGCATCGTCCTGCCTCGCTGCCCCCTCCATATCCACCTGCTGCCCAGGCCGCCTGGCAAGCAATGGCTGCTGCTGGTCATGCTGCGCTTGCTGGCTCACAGGCGCCAGAGGAAGCGGCGCGGGCTGGCTGGGGCTCTGTGCTGGAGCTGGCGGCGACAGGGAGAGCGCATGGGGCTGCTGACCCTGCTGCAGCAGCAGTGGCTGCGGGCAGTGCAGCGCCCCATCATAGAGTTGCAGCGGCAGCTCCACACGCAGGTACCTGCGGTGGAGAGGCATCAGGTGAGCAGCAGGTGAGAGCGTTGGGTGCACGCCATGCCACGTGCTGGCACTCGAGATTCTGCAGCCTGCCTCACCTGACACAGTGGGCGCATTGCACGGTCAGTGATTCTGGGCGCGCCTGCTGAACTGCGGGTGGCACGGGCACCTGCAGCGGCAGGCGAGGCGGGCGGGTGACGAGCGGCAGATTGTGCTGGAGGGCCAACCTTGACAGCCCGTTGGACCCGTTTCCTCCCCCAAATCCTCATGCAGTCGGTAACTCTGCGTTTCTGGCACCACATTCACTCCATCGCGGCTGCCTTCAAGCCCAATGGCAGTGTGGGGGCTGAACCTCACATGAAGCAGCGCACGGCATGCCTCGCATGCGACACGGATGGACAGGCCAGACGCCGCAGGAATTGGTGAGCCCCCGAAGACGATGGCGGCGGAATGGTCGACGCTCATTTACGCACGTCACAGTGCTCAACTTACATTGCTCAGGATGCACCGTGCAACAGCTAATAAGGCAGCTGCGCCAGTTTAAGCGTTGGAGATTAGTGCCAGCTGGCGGCTCCCCCCGTGCTGCGCCCGCCACCTCTGCCGTCATGGACAGCTAACCACATCGCACCACTCAGACAGTGCAGCAGCCAGAAAAAAATAAAGAGAGATGCATCAAGAACATACCCCACTAACCGTCAAGCTTTGTATGTCGGCAGGGCATGCCCTTTCTGAAGCTCGGGCATGTGGCCCAACCTCTGCTACGAACTCAGGAACGACACTGCTTACACATTGGAGAAGCTACAAGGATGAGTGCAGGACGGGAGGTAGCCGGCTGGAACCCCACAACGCCGCTATCTTGGCTGGCCTGCCGCGGCATGGCTGCTGCGCCTGAGGAGCAGCTGCACCGCATACTCGTACAGCTGCATGTCCAGATGGTTGATGGCCGCGATCTGGCGCCACACCTCCAGCGGCACATGCGGGTGCGGCGTGGCATTCTCTCGCGTGGTATTGCTGAACAACACGGCCTCGGGCCAGCCAGCAGCCTCTGCCAGCTGCTGCAACGACTCGCCCATGAACTCCTGCAGGACAGGGCAGAGGCGGGAGTGAGAGGGACATGGTACAGCTGCCCAGCGCCAACATGCCGAATGCGCTCTGGCGGGCAGGACCACAGCAGCGGAGGCTTCACTCACACTGATGGCAACCACGCAGAAGGTCTCCAGGTTGCGCTTGGCGGCCTCCAGCATCTCGGCATCCCGCCGCGGCACCGGGGGCCCGCCAGGCCACTGGCATCCCGTGGCGCCGCCCAGCAGGCGGGTGTGCAGGTTGGCCTGGTGGTGGCGTTCCGCGGCAAAGGCCAGCAGGCCCGAAAAGTCGGTGTGGTTGCGTGGCCAGAACTCGAAGCCCCAGGGGTTGCCCATCTCGTGCTTCTCCCAAGTCTGCTTCATCTGGAAGTAGTAGTGGCTGACCGCCCGCTCCACGGGGTGCCGCAGCGAGGCCAGCGTGAGAGTGCGGGTGTGGTCGACGCGCAGGGCCCGGAAGAAGCCGTAGTCCTGGTGGGCGTTGAAGGCGGAGCAGCGGTGCGTGAAGTTGGCGCGCAAGTCCTCCAGCAGCTGGACCTGCGGCGGCAGAGGGCCATTCTCCCGGATGCACGGGTGGATGGCGTGCCAGCTGTGGTCCCGCCCTCGGATGCAGTACCGCCCCCTCCCCTCCGCCGGCATCGCCTGCTGCATGACCCTCGCCAGGAAGAGGCCTGCACGCCAGACCAGCGTGCAAGCGGGTGAGGAGCGCTGCGCCGCGGCGGGAGTGGCACAGCGCCAAAGGCAAGCGCAGGACTGTCCAGCACCCCAGAACATCCAGGTGCCACAACTATAGAAAAGCCACCAGGGCCAAATCCCTGCCCACCTGCAGTCTTGGGCACGTGCAGGAAGGCGACGGAGAGAGGCAGGCCACCTGTGCGTGGAGGGCACTGCCGCCGCTGCAACCCAGCCTCCAGCTCGCTTGCCGTGGCGCTGCTGCTGCCTAGTACTGCCTCTTGCGGCCCGCTGCTGCCGCTCTTCAGCAGGCGTGTTGCTGCCCCGCTGCTGCGCCTGAGGAGCAGCTGCACCGCATACTCGTACAGCTGCATGTCCAGATGGTTGATGGCCGCGATATGGCGCCGCACTTCCAGCGGCACACGCGGGTGCGGCGTGGCATTCTCTCGCGTGGTGTTGCTGAACAGCACGGCCTCCGGCCAGCCAGCAGCCTCTGCCAGCTGCTGCAACGACTCGCCCATGAACTCCTGCAGGACAGGGCGTGGAGCAGAATGGACAGCCAGACAAGGTGACTGGTGTGGTGCATGCACGGAAGGAGCAGACGGCCTGCTGTGATGGCCACCCCAGCAAGCACCGCCGCGCTGGTGGCACAGCCAGCGGCCAGAGATGGCGTCGGCACTCCGCCGGCAGCCCAGCACCCGCACCGTGATGGCAACCACGCAGAAGGTCTCCAGGTTGCGCTTGGCGGCGTCCAGCAGCTCTGCATCTCCGCCGGGCCGCTCCCCGGAGCCGGGCCAGCGGCAGACCATGTCGCCGCCCAGCAGGCGGGTCTGGTGGTTGGGCTGGGCGAGATGCTGGGCAAAGGCCAGCAGGCCCGAGTGGTCTGACTCGCCGCGGGGCTGGAAGGCCTGCGGCAGGGTGCCCCTCTGCAGCAAGTAGAAGTAATAGCTGACCGCCCGCTCCACGGGGTGCCGCAGCGAGGCCAGCGTGAGGGTGCGGGCGTGGTCGACGCGCAGGGCCCGGAAGAAGCCATAGTCCTGGTGGGCGTTGAAGGCGGAGCAGCGGTGCGTGAAGTTGGCGCGCAAGTCCTCCAGAAGCTGGAGGTGCTGCGGGGACAGGTCGCCCCCCATCTTGCCCAGGCAGGGGAAGTTGGCGTGCCGGCTGTAGTCCCGCCCCATGACGCAGTACCGCCCGCTCCCCTCGGCCGGCATCGCCTGCTGCATCACCCTCGCCAGGAAGGTGCCTGTGCGCATGTGGATGGGGGGAGCGCGCCTACTCTGAATCGCAGAACAAGCACGCAGCGCCCACGGCACAAAGGCCGACCCGTCCCTAGAAATCTGGTGCAAATGCTGCCGCACACACCTCTGGCTCCCTGCCCACCTGCAGTCTTGGGCACGTGCAGGAAGGCGACGGAGAGAGGCAGGCCACCTGTGCGTGGAGGGCACTGCCGCCGGTGCAACCCAGCCTTCAGCTCCGCATCACTGGCGGCGCTGCTGCCGATTGTGGCGCCTGGCAGGCCAGCGCACTGCTGCTCCTCACACTGTCCCGGGTGCTGGCTGCCTCCTTGACGGCAGCATTCTGAGGCTGCGCTCCCAATCACCAGCGCCAATGGTAACAGCACACTGGCAGCTGCGGCTGGGCACTGCCGCTTCATGACGAGAGCCATGGGTGCCACGCTAGGCATATAGACCACCTGCGTGAAGTGCAACCGAGGACAACAAAACCCAATGCTTGCTGAGTCATGCCGGGCTGCAGACACCAGGCTGCGGCGGCACCCGCCCTGAGCGGGCACAGGAAGGCCCTCGCCATTCCGTGTCGGGGCAGCCTCGTGCGTGTGCGGGCGCCTTGCCTGCCCTACTAGGCGCTGTTCAGCGCATGCGCTTGGACACGAGACCGCTGCTGGCTGGCGCGATGGCTATGTTTGGCCCACAGCGACTCCCGGGGCGGCCGTCTGTGCTAGATGTTTGTGCAGGAACCGGCATTGGACGGTGCAGAAGAAAGGCTGAATTGGGGGCGGCGGAGGTGTCGCCCGCCGCCACATCGCCAGCGTGCAGTTGCTGCAGAATGTGAGCCTCTGCAGCTCTGGCAATGTTCTCTTTTAAAACCAAGTCACTTATTACAGGTAAAACGAGGAAAAAAGATGGCAGTTGCAGGAATTGGATGGAGAGAGGCGGGAGAGGAAAACCATGCACCCCGGAAAAATCAGTCGATGATGCCACCGAGTAGCAGGCACGAGCACAAGATGGGGCTTGAATACGAGTTCACACGGGTCGCGGTGAAAAAGGTACAGTGCATCAGCGCTGGACGTCACAGAGGCGGCGCGCCGGACGATGTTGCTGCCGCAGCCGCCCAGCCGGCTGGGGAGGCGGCGGCAGCTGCCGGCGCCGCGGCGGCTGGGGCCCAACCGCACAAGCTGGCTGGGTGCCAGCGGCATGGCCCCTCACTCGCAGGCCTTGAATATGGCGCCGGATCCAGCACCGTACACGACGTTGTCGCGGATGGTGAGCTTGGAAGGGTAGACGTTGGTGCCGCCGAAGTTGGTTGTGGCGTCGGAGGCGGAGCGGGTAAAGGCGTTGGCCATCTTCATGAGGGGCTTTGAGTCCTGTGTGTAGGCGATGTACAGCGTGGGCGGCGACTGCGAGTTGAGCACCATGGAGAAGCCCACCCTGGTGGATGTGCCGTCGCTGCTGGTGTAGGAGTTGGTGCCCGCCATCGTGGGGTCGATGTTGGTCAGCAGCGGGGTGGTGGTGGCGGCCACGCGCACCAGCGTCATGAAGCTGACAGCCACGGTGTTCCCTGCAACAGAGGATGAGTCTGGGGCCAACACTGAGCGGGGGCGGCAGCCAGGGTGCGCACGTGGCGGAGAATGGCAAGGGTTGGGGGCCGTGGCGGCGCCGTGGGGCGGCGGCAGGGCACGGGCGAGCAGGCGCACAGCGGCGTGGCAGGAGCGAGCAAGCGGCCAGGCACGGCGAGGGTGCGCAGTGCCGGGGGAGCGGCAGGGCAGGAGCACACAGGTGGGACAGCAGTGGCTGGCAGAGCTGCGCATGGCCGGCGGCTCACATGAAGCGTCCAGTTGGGTTTCGCCCGAGGTGGCGGCCAGGTAGGTGTCGGAGGTCGTGTCTCCCACCACGCTCGTGATGAAGTTGCCGCTGGTGAGGGCCACCGTGCGCCTGGCGGCCGAGAACGCGCTGCCCGTGCCGCCCGCCAGCACCTTGATGTCGCCGCCCACCGCCACAATCACGTCGCCGGTGCCGCCGATGTCCATGGAGCAGGCGGTGAGGGCCGTCTGGCCGGTGACCAGGTCGGCGGTGGAGCCGTCGGACAGGTCCACGCGGGACAGCTTGGTGGGGGTGCCGGACGTGCCAGCCTTGCCCGTCAAAATGTACAGCCAGGTGCCCTTGCTGCCGCAGATGAGGCCGGGATTGTCCAGCCCAGACACGATGGTCTTGGAGGACCAGCCGGTGAGGCTGGGGGTGGACGATTCCATGGCCAGCAGCAGCACCCCCTGGTCAGCCATGGTCACGTAGAAGCCCTCGGCGGCAGCGAACACGCCAGACGGCCCGTACTGCCCTGCAGCAGGCAGGTGTGGGCGAGCACGGGTGGGTGGCCGCGGGCGCGCGCATGCTCGGCCGCAGGCGGGGTGGCCTCGTGGCTCCACATCTGCCTGCCGCCTCGCGGCTGCCCTCGCGGCACCGTCGCAGCAGGCAGGCAGGCGCAGCGCGGCACACTCACAGTCGAAGAGGTAGCGCTGGGGGGTGCTGTTGGGGCTAGCGATGGGGATGCGGTGCCGGTCAAAATAGATGTAGCCGTCATAAACCTGTGTGGATTGGGTGTTGCGGGAGGGACACAAAGGCAGGCGCACAGCACGGTACGTGAGCGGGCGGGCAAGCATATGCACTGCTGTGGCAAGCCCCGCCCACAACCGAAACAACAATGCCACCAACCACAGCAACACGCAGCGGACCCCCTCCTGCCGCACCGAGTAGTAGCTAGAGCTGGGGACGTTGTTGGAGAACTTGACGCTGGTGGTGGCGTCCTTTGCGTAGTACACAAACAGGTTCTCGTTGCCTGGGTCGTTGGCGTCGAAGAAGCCGTACATCTGAATGGGGGGCATTGGCGGCGCAGGAACAGAGGGGTGGGTGGGCGGCCGTACGGCCGGGTGCCACCACATCAGTGATGGGGGTGCTGCGGCAGGCCTGCGCACTAACTTCATGCCCCCCACTCTGCATGTCCCCTGCACGGCACTGCCCCGCTCACCCGACCGTTGGACTGGTCCACTCCAATGCCCGTCTGCGGGTTGTGTGCGGGTGGGTGGAGCGAGAAGGGGCGGTCAGTGTGCAGCACAAGGCACGTGCGCAGCAGGTGTGGCCCCACCGATCGGTGCGCAGGCTGGCGGCAGCCCCCAGGCTCACCCATCCATACTGGAAGTAGCTGGTGGAGGGCCTAGTCAGCTTGGTTGGGTCGCCGCCGGCCAGGGGGAACCTCCCAGCGCCAACTGCCGAGGTGCCGCCACTGGTGAACGAAGGGCCTGCGGTGCAGGCGGGGGTTGCCGGCGGGGTGAGAATGCCAGAAAAGCCCTCTTTGCGCACCCCACGCAGGGTGCGGCAGCACGGCTGGGCCTCGGGTGCCACCTTGGCCCAGCATGGCAGCCTGCACAAGCTGGGCAACTGCAGCCAGTTGGAATCATCAATCACACGTGCCCTGGGCATTGGCTCACCCAAGAAGATATAGGAGTTGATCATGTCGCAATCCATGCCCGCCCTGGAAGAAAGAAGAGTGGCCGGAAGGCAAGCAGGCACCCCATGAGGGAAAGGCGGCGGGCGCATGCCCAGCACGCTCTGCAGCCTGGCACGTGGATGCAGGTGCAACAGCGCACTCACGGGTAGGAGTTGGTGGGGAGATTCACGTTGTCAATCTTCATCCACTGAGCATTAGTGACCACCGTGGTGCACCCGGTGCCTGCACCCAGCAGCAGGCCAGTGGGAGGTGACAAGGGGTGGGGGTGCGAGCCAGGCTGGCTGCTTTCGCGCAGCCAGCCCGCACCCGGCGCGGCGCAGCTGCCGGCTGCGCCGCCACACGCTGAGCCAGGCTGGCTGCTTTCGCGCAGCCAGCCCGCACCCGGCGCGGCGCAGCTGCCGGCTGCGCCGCCACACGCCCGCGCGGCCGCGCTGCCCCGCTCACCGGCCTGGTCCACCCTGCAGGCGCCCG